GCTACAGATGAACATATAGAAATAATTACTTTAATTCCTCTAACATGGATGAACCTTAACATGACTTCCCTCTGGAAGTTGCATCTCACCATAGTGGAGAAGACTGGAGCCAACTTCAGGGGGCTGTGCATGTTTGGACACCCACAATAATATAATTGTGGGGGCCGGGCACCCACAAAGTCAATGGAAATAGCCAGGAGAGAAGCATTTGAGTTCTGTCCTCTGCAGCCAGTGAGCAAGGCATCCTTTTCTGGGGGGTGAGGCTTGGGCAAGGAGGCAGAGTCTCTCTGCCTCTAAGTCCCTCCCCATGGAAAAGGATGCCTCACTGGCTGTGTGACGTCTCATGCACTATGCGCACGCATGAACCTGTGACGTTGCACAGGTGCAGCGGCAGGCACCCACAATCCTGAGGGTGAGAAGGCACCCCTGCTGTGAGCAGGTGACCTGTTTGCCTGCTTAATCCAGATACAAACTTATTATTGATGGGCAGCTTCAGGGCTCCTGCTCATTCTTCATCTCATTTCTTATCTTTATACTGGATTTGGGATTAGACATCCCTTCAAATAGTGGACGGTCTTCTCTAGTGTAGAACACATGGGTACTCTAGACGCCATAAGCACGGCTAAATGCTAAGTACTACTACTTGTGCTATGACCTCTCATGAGGAGAAAGGAATCCCCAAACAATGACTCCATTGCTGAAACAAAATAAAAAAATTCCTTCCAGTAGCACCTTGGAGACCAACTAAGTTTGTTATTGCTAGGAGCTTTTGTGTGCATGCACACTTCTTCAGATACCAACGACTCCTTTGATCATTCTGGGGAACCCCAGTAACTGACTCCTCAAGAGGTCCACTTGAATCTTTAAAAAGCAATTCAAGGATTGTGCTTAATTCTACATTTCAGATAACATGCAGGTTACATCTCACATGGTGTAATGTGAGTTACTTTCATTAGAGAGTAACAGAAATGGGTTCACAACACAGAATTCATATGCAAATGCCTCTTGTTGCATCTTGTAGCATAACATCAGCACCATTCTAAAACCAATGAATATAGTCCCAATGGACTAAATTAACTACTTTTCTTATACTTTTTCACTAAGTAGCTTTCTGTCATGTTCTGCATTAACCTCAGAAATTTTAAGAAACAGATTTGACTAAAGCAGGTATTCCACCTCATTTGATAAATAACAAGGGAGCCTATGCTTATAAGCTAAGGCCTATTCCTTAATACCCCTTACTTTATATGTCATCTTGTATCAAAATTATTGCTTTCAGAGCTTCAAGCCTGAAAATTTAACATCACAAATCTCATTCCTCCTCAATAGACTGTCACATTGATGAACATCTTAGCCATAGAAAGTTAATGAAGTAATTTACCAGCAGCGGAAAAAAAGTTTCACAAATGTGCCAACACTGTTCAGCAACTTTTTATACCACATGACAAATTAGAGCATAAAAAAACTGCAATCCTAGGCCAGGGTTGTGGACTCAGAGAAATATATTTTTATTTTTTATTTTTTTCTGCACAGAGATTAAATGCTTTCATTAAAAGCCTTGTTTCATTCACACTTTTCTGTTTGAGCACAGGAGCTCATTAATAGGTAGCACTGATATTAAATAGCCTTTGCAGTAAAGTGTCACATTCATTCATTTTTAATACTGACATTATTATTAGTCAGAAAGGAGATGAGCAAGATTTAAGAGATCTTGCCTGAAAGTGAGAGCCCCGTCACTTCTCTGTTTCATTGTTGGAGGCTTTTGATTTAAAATGGAATATTATGCTCTCTCATTCGACCCACTTATATGTCAAGCGTTATTTATATTTCTACCATTTTGGAAAACGGTTTACTATATTATGAAAGGGGGAAAGAGAGAGATCACTTCCAAGAGCACATTATAGTCATTGGCACTGAGCAATGTGGGAGGGGCCTGAATGTATTATCCAGCCACATGGCTTTACCCTTTTACTGGAGCGAAGCTGTTTTATCATTAGTCAGAGTGAGATGATCACCCCGTTACCAGCAGTGAATTAAGGTCCAACTGCCTATCTGGTTAACTTTTGTATGCAGAATGGGTGGAAATACCATCTAGTCCTTTGGCTCAGGCAGCAAAATGTTGTGGGCAGCTGAGGTGAACCACAAAATGATGCTCTCTCTCACCTCTAGGCCAGGGAAGAATTACCGGTATTAGTAGTGGTTGTAGTAGCATTAGTAGTATATTTTTTATACGACCTGTCATCAAAAGATCATAGGGTGGTTCACAAGATAAAAACACGAGATAAAAGCACAAATAAATAGTTACAACAGAAACAAAACATTAACATAAAGAACAAGGAGGGAGTGGAGATATCTCTCTCTGTACTATATTTGCACTATATTAGTTCATCATCATCCATTCTGAAGGAAATCAGCCCTGAGTGCTCACTGGAAGGACAGATCCTGAAGCTGAGGCTCCAATACTTTGGCCACCTCATGAGAAGAGAATAATAATAATAATAATAATAATAATAATAATAATAATAATAATATATATTTTTTAATATCCCGCCCTCCCCAGCCGAAGCCGGGCTCAGGGCGGCTAACAACAATAAAACAGTACAAAAGTACAGCACCAACATCACTCTAAAACCATTCATTATAAAATTAATTCAAATCAAGCCACTGGCAACCATTGGGCCAGAGCTCCACGAAGATTGCCGAGGGAGGGAGTCAGGCTGTGCCCTGGCCAAAGGCCTGGTGGAACAGCTCTGTCTTGCAGGCCCTGAGGAAAGATGTCAAGTCCTGCAGGGCCCTAGTCTCTTGTGACAGAGTGTTCCACCAGATCAGAGCCACAGCCGAAAAAGCCCTAGCTCTAGTTGAGGCCAGCCTAACTTCTCTGTGGCCTGGGACCTTCAAGACGTTTTTATTTGAAGACCGTGCGTTTCTCTGTGGGGCATACCAGGAGAGGCGGTCCCATAGGTACGAGGGTCCTAGGCCGTATAGGGCTTTAAAGGTTAAAACCAGCACCTTAAACCTGATCCTGTACTCCACCGGGAGCCAGTGCAGCTGGTATAGCACCGGGTGAATGTGATCTCACAGCGAAGACCCTGTAAGGAGTCTCGCTGCAGCATTCCGCACCCGCTGGAGTTTCTGGGTCAGTCTCAAGGGCAGCCCCACGTAGAGCGAGTTACAATAATCCAGTCTGGAGGTGACTGTCGCGTGGATCACAGTGGCTAGGTCAGGGCAAGAGAGGTAAGGAGCCAACTGCTTAGCTTGGCGGAGATGGAAAAATGCCGCCTTTGTTATAGCTGCAATCTGCGCCTCCATGGAAAGGGAGGTGTCGAAGATTACACCCAAACTCTTAACGGATGGTGCTGGCACTAATTGCGCCCCCGCAAGAGATGGGAGTTGCCCCCCCAATCCCATATTGTCCCGTCCCAGCCACAGGACCTCTGTCTTCAAAGGATTTAGCTTCAACCGGCTCCCACATAACCATCCAGCCACAGCTTCCAAACATCTGGTCAGTGTGTCTGGGGCCGAGTCAGGATGGCCATCCATCAACAGATAGAGTTGGGTGTCATCGGCATACTGATGGCAACCCAGCCCAAAACTCCGGACAAGCTGGGCGAGGGGGCGCATAAAGATGTTGAAAAGCATCGGCGAGACTCCCTGGAAAAGACCCTGACGTTGGGAAAGATGGAGGGCACAAGGAGAAGGGGACGACAGAGGACGAGATGGTTGGACAGTGTTCTCGAAGCTACCAACATGAGTTTGACCAAATTGGGGGAGGCAGTGGAAGACAGGAGTGCCTGGCGTGCTCTGGTCCATGGGGTCACAAAGAATCAGATACGACTAAACGACAACAACAATACTTTCTTCCCTTTTGTCTGTCCTGGGTGGAAGCAGGGCAGGTGAAAACCAAATACAATCCCCAGGGGAATGCACAGTATGCACACATGCAGCATGATCAGGACATGCACACCAACACTAAAAGCAGGAGAAGTAAACTCTTGAAAGACAATGAGTTTAGCTATGCTGGAGGAAACCATTCTAAGTTCCATTAAGTGGAAATTAAAGTCCATACAAAAAAAAAGAAAGAGAGAGAGAGAGCTTCCCTTAAATTTGCCAGCAATTCTAGATTAATCAGCAAATATTTGGATTCCTACCAACTGTTCTTCATATCACATGAGAGTATAGGTGAAGGTACCAGTAAGAAATGCAAAATGATTGCAAACCCAATACTAAGGGAGAAGATATCAAAATGAAAAACCATGCATTGCATTCTGAACAAGCACTGGAGATGGACTGGAGAATATCTGGCTTTGTAAAGCAGACCCACAAAAGTGTGAGGAAGCAGTTAACTTGATTTAGTGCCACTGAGAGATCAATCTGTTCTAATGTATTATTCTGTCACTGTAGATTGGTGGATTGATCACATTTTGACTGGTGCAGCACTTTACTTGCCAGCAAACACAGGCTAATCTGTCCACTTGGTTTCAACGGAGTACAGTCAGTAGGCACTAACTAGGTCTGATCAATACCAGCCTCAGCGCCCCCCACCCCGCCCCAAGTAGAACTATTCGGTGCTAATTACATTTTCTGATGTAATTGTTAGAAATAAAGTAAAATGACAGTTCAATGCCAACAGAATTCAGTAGTGATGGCTCAAAGAGTACACCGTGGTCAAGGACCTATTCTGGCTCTGACTTACCTGGCAGGCTGTGATAGTGATTTCATTTAGAAATCACTTTTGATAGACTGCTGTAGAACAGGAAAAAGTGATTGTTACCAAGGGGAAGTCTAGGGGGTGGTTCACAGAATTAAGCATGCCCTACAGTTCTTTTTGTTTGACAAAGATCAGTTCAGACACTTGTAATTTATCATTATTAGTCACTGGGTTTATTACTGAGTGAATATATTGCATGCATAACATAAGGAGAAAAGGAGGCAGGCTTACTGAGAAAAGACCCCTTCACCATCATACTACAACCATCTTTTAAAATATGAAGATATACATCAGGTAGAGCAATGAGTCAGTGCTTTTGGCTGTTAACCAGAAGGTTGGTGGTTCAAGCCCACCCAGGGATGGAAGGACAGACTAAATGACCCTTGTGGGTTTTTCCAACTCTGTGATTCTAACACTTAAATAAAAACACCAACTTACTGTTTTGTTTGCAACCCCCCTCAAAAAAAAATCATTAAAAATGATGCACCTTATGTTGCGGATTAGTTTCACCTACATTAAATCAATGAATCCCAGAGTTGTACGGGACTAAAAGAGCATTAATTCAATCTTATCCTACACAGCACAGAATTCCACCCTTATGTTGGTTTATACACATAGTCTAAGTCAGAGAGCCCCATAGTCCAAGAGTACAGGCACTATATAATGGTGCAATGAGACCAAGCAGATAGCAATGATTCAAGCAAGTGAAACAAAAATATACAGTGGAGCCATTCCTGGTGATCAGTGATCAGACAGACGCGTTATCAAGCAAAACTCACCTACCAAGTCATCTGGAGAGAATTTTTACTCGGAATAAACCTATACCACCTGATATCCATAATCAAGGAGAAGCAAAAGATGAACAGGAATTAATGATTGTTATTGTGAGATCTTTCCTACCACTTAAGCCAGGCGTGGAGAACCTACGGGCTTCTGGATGTTGTTGGACTCCATCAGCTCCAGTCAGCATGGACAATGATCAGGGATTATGGCAGTTGAAGTAGAACACCTGAGGGGCTACTGGGTCCCCATCCCTGATCTTGGAAATGTTAGGGACTGGACTTCGGATTTCCAGTATGAAAGTCCTTGCAACTTGCCTCCATTGAGCTGCAGCTCCTGGTCCCCAACTCTATGTTCTTTTTCACCAACCAGGTTTTTCTATAAAAACCATCACATGATCTATACCCAGCTTAAAAATAACACCACACTTCTTGTTTACTTGTCACCTTATTTTTCAGATGCACAAACCCATAAAATGAATTTTCCTTGCATTACTATAAATCACATATTAATAAGTAATACCACAGTGAAGTAGAATTAATCATCGTCAGTATTAAGCTGCAATTAATATTAGAGGACTTGATCAGCTCAAACATTCAAAATTCGGCTAGCTACCTGTAAGCCTGAGTAGTGTCCTATGAATGATTTAGCACTTGGTGAAATCTTTTCTAAATCACCTTTGCATGTAATGAAATTGAAATGTACCCTGTTCAAAGGAGAGAAATAATCATTAATTCCTCAACAGTTGCTGAGAGGAGATCAACAACTGCCACTGCATTTAGGTTCTACTTGTTTTCATGACTATATTGCAATTTGAGGACATAAGGAGAGGCAAATCTATCAAATGTATAGTGGAGCATCTGGCATTTCAATTAAAAGATGGATTCAGTTGAGCTACGGTAAAAAGGGTAGGGGGAGTCCCAGATAACTTGAAGGGAATGTCCACATAACAGCTTCATGTTACTGGTTTTAAGATTTTATACTAAGCTGGAAGGGTGAGAAGCAGAATCTATAAAAAGGAGACACTAATGTCTGGGGTGTGGGTAGAGGTTATTTTGTATTAAGTGTTTAGTATTAAGTGATAAACAAATAGTTAAAATACATACATACATACATACATACATACATACATACATTCTCCCACCCAAGCAGCTCTTCTTGTTTGTTTTCTGGTTTGATGATTGATAAACTTGCTGCATGCCTTGAGAACATCAGTACCTGAAAATTACAGTTTACTATAAGCCTTTGGGGGATGCGGGTGGCGCTGTGGTTTAAACCACTGCACCGCTTGGAATTGCCAATCGGAAGGTCAGTGGTTTGAGGTCCCGCGACAGGGTGAGCTCCCGTTGTTCGTCCCAGCTCCTGCCAACCTAGCAGTTCGAAAGCATGCAGTGCACGTAGATAAATTGATACCGCTCCGGCTGGAAGGTAAACGGCGTTTCCGTGCGCTGCTCTCGCTTCGCCAGAAGCAGCTTAGTCATGCTGGCCACATGACCCGGAAAAACTGTCTGCGGAAGAGGACAAACGCCGGCTCCCTCAGCCTGTAAAGCATTCTGTCCTTGTACAATCATGGACTCACCATGCAAAGAACAAAAGTCCCCAAAGCATGTGATATACATATATATGCTAAAGATATTTCCGGATGCAATGTCACTTTAACAGTTTGGGCTTGAGATGCAACTTGTAATTTACAATACTTCAGTGCAATCCTATGCATGCAGAGCCGGCTCTGCCATTAGACAGGCTGAGGCAGGCTTAGGCAGCAGAAGCCTCCAAGCTGGCCAAAATCAGCAGCAAATCTCGGACAGCAGTGGAGGCAGCAGGGAGGACAGCAAAACAGTGCCGAGAGGAGCAGTTATGGCAGCACCAGCGGCAGTGCAAGGGTAGGGCATGGCATGGCAGCACTTCCCATTTTGCCTCAAACAGTGAAATGGGGCACACTTTCCCTTTATGCACAATTATTTGGAAGCAAAGACCACTAAGTTAAATGGGACTTACTCCCAGGTAACGTGGCACAGGATTGCAGCCTTACTGTATATTTAGATTCCATTCATGTTCTACTCTCATACCCGAGAGTAAGCTAATTCAGTTTAATAGAATTTACTTGCATGTAAGCATGTTTCTGTAGTTTTGTATGTCTCACATTCTGAATTGAAATGGAACTGCTCATGGAATGAGTTCAGCTAGTTTATATTTATGGTTGTAAAAACAGACTACATTTATCTAAACCACTGTACTTGAAACCCACTGAGCTTTGACATTTTCAGTGTATCTCACTGGAAATACAAAAGGACCAATTTATATGGTGTTCCAGTTTAGCGGGGAAAATCGAAGCTTCATCTTTCAGTACTACTGAATCGAGGAATGATTTTCTTTCTTCATGCTGACCTGAGTCGGAATAAGGAGGACTTCTTTTGAGTCTCATGGCCCCTCTTGTGTTAGAATACAATCTTGTGTAACCAGTTGACAATGGGCACAGTCTAGAGATAGTTAGACTTGTGCAACACTACAGCTACTGTATCATTGTCACCATGATGGCAAGCTGTTTGGATTCTTTCTTACATTAGAAGTCATTTGTGTGAAGCAACTGACACATGATTTGCCCTAGTTTTAACAATTCTAGTAAATACCTAAGTTACCGTTATTTTAGTGGAACTTAGCTATCTCTCCTGCAGGGATAGTCCGTGAGATGCCCTCTAGATGTTTTGGACCATAATCTCCCAGCATCCCTGTTCATTGGGGCATGCTAGCTGGGGATGATGGGAGTAGTAGTTCACACCTTCTGGAGGACACCACTAGCAATGGGTGAATGTGTGAAATTTGGTTTTTCAGTTTTAAGTTTAGTTCTCCGTGTTTCCACATCGTATAATCTTCATGAAAATTCAGCAGCCTTTTAGTGCAAATTTATCCATATATTGTATATATATGTGTGTGTGTGTGTGTGTGTGTGTGTGTGTGTGTGATTGAGCCAAATATATACCCCCCCCCCGTGTCATGTATTTTGTAGGTTATTTTCATTAATATATGCATTCTTATGCATGCTTTACCTCAGTACACACATTTTTGTACACATTACTTGCCTGGAAAACTGCACTGCAGATGTGAAGGAAGTGTGAATTTCAAAGGAAGGCTGTGTTTCCATTTGCATATTATTTTAGAAAGTACAAATCAGGTCAGTTTGCTTTAAATACAAACTGAATCAAATCTATCCCATGGCACCTCATTAGCTACCCCATTCTCCTGCTTTCTGACTTTATTTGGGCCTTTGCTTACATCTGATTATTTAAATGCTAGCATACTTTTTGTCATCTGCTTTGCAGAGGTAGCTTGACTTCCTTCTACATCATCCTTTCTAGGTCTATGGGCATATTTGGATTGGTTTCACAGCAATCAAGGGAAATTTCCTTCAGTAAGGGGCTAACAAGAACCAAGGTAAAGGTGGTTCATGGGATCTCAGTCCTATGTCTTTTGCATCCTGCCCTAGATCTCCTTCCCTCCTATTTTAAATATAATTTTAAAAGTTCTCTTAGAAGGTTGCTGGAAGGGGTGGTGAACAAATTCAGTTCAGTGTGCATTGAAAGGTGACCTTACTGAATGCACACTTTTTGAAACAATCCATGAAGAGAAACATCATAACCATCACCCAAAATTCACACCACTCTGAATTTTGCAGGGCAGTTCTCCAGCCAAGTAATGTGTGCAAAATAATGCAAACATTGGGGTAAAATGTGCATATAAATGCATATATTAGTGGGAAGGTTTTCAGCAGGTGCCTTCTGTTTCAGCTTTTAAATCCCTGCTGAAAACCTTTCTATTGTGTCAGGTTTATGCAGGAGATTAAGAATACATCTCTCCACCATAGTTTGCTGATGACTGATTTGCATCATTTTATTTGGTTTTTATTGAATGGTTTTATGTATAATTGTTGTAAACCACTCTGATTTTTCTTTTTACTAAATAGTGGCATATAAATATTATATAAATAAATAAATACATTAAACAACACACAAAAATGCATAATATTGGGGAACTAACTTTACAAAAATGTGTACATTAGGCAAAATTACATACAAACGTGTAGATAAGGAGAATGCTATACTAAAATGCTGTTGAATCATTTCTCTCTCTCTCTCTCTCTCTCTCTCTCACACACACACACACACACACACAAACACTAAATCTTTTTGGTACCTTTCAATGCTCCTAAACAGTTTGATCAGAATGAACATTGCCCATTCATATGTAGAAGCTTTTTTGAAACACACACACACACACACACACACACACACACTCTAAGGCAGAAAAGAACTTCAGGAGGAAGTGGTGCTTGATTGCAATATGCCCTGGCATTATGGGCTGCATAATTAATATTCCAAAGAAGATAATTGTAGGCTTAAGTGACATCCTTTCTTTATAGCAGAAACAGAGGGAGGGTAAGAATTGCTTGAAGCCCAGATTATTTAGAAGATTATTCCCTGCAAGTTCATATGACTTTCCCTGACCCCTGGCCCATCAACCACCCCACAAATAGCTAACAACAGACATTTTAAAAATCCTGAAATTGTTTGATTCGTTTATTCCAGTTTTCAGTGCCTGTTCTTTTAAAATTAAGCATCCACAATGAACATCACATTATTGGAAAAAAGCATTACAGAATGTCCGTCCATTTGGATATGAAAACATTTTGAGGAAGAACCACTGATTATATTTGGGATTTTAAAAGAAGAAACAGGTTCCAAATTTCTAGTCTTCTCTCCATTTGGTTCACCCCTCAGATATTAGATTAAATGTGCCCGTGGTTGAAGGCATACTGTATCTTCGTATAATACTTTTCATTTCACAAATTATTTTTGCAACCAGCAATATACAACCATGCAGCAACCTGCTGCTAAAGATGACTGCCCACCAACAGACCATTAGCTATTCCGCCTTGTGTTCTACAGTAAAACATGCTGTGTAGGCGTGATTGCATTGGACGTTATTGGTATATTTGAATGCGAACTACCAAACCATGAAAAATGAGGCATCCATTGGCTATAAAAATAAATTAGAAGGCCCTGCTTTGCTGGCAAAGCCATTTGAGATCCACAGTTTATAACTATTCATGGTATCATTAACAGATGTCTTTGCTTGTACTGTGAGGTGTCTTACGATATTGCTGCATCCTACGGTACTTTATATCGAAAATGAATGCAAGCAACTTTGTTTTAGAATATAATAAAATCTGGCCTGATGTAGAGACCCTATGGGAAATTATACAATAATGTTACCTACATAACTAATTTTCTTCTTATGAAATCATGATTCCCACTACACTTTTAGAGCTATTCAAAGTATTGTTTAACATCACCATTTCCATGTTAATATCTCAATAAATCACAGAAATATAATACTTTATGTGAAAAGTGAGACATACCAGGGGAATCATAAGTTTTCTTTTCTAAATTAAAGTGGAATAAAATGAATGCTGAATGTACTCATGATATTCACTGGCACATAGAAGTTGTACTTCTTTGAGAGCTGAGCTGTAAGCTGCAGTCAAAAGAAATGTAGCTTTATTACTAGGTATCATGCTACCAGGAACAGAGTAGGTTTCTATTATACTCTAAGGGACAGGCAGAGCACAACTCTCCTTTAATGACTATTCAGCCGTTGGGGTGGAATTCTTGAGCAATCTCTTCAAGAATCCTGTAGTCTTCTAAGGTCCCATTCATTTGAGATATAAAACTCTTGAATTATATGTTCACGCAAAGAGCATCTTCTAAGAACAAACATTGTCCTAGGAATAAACCTGGTTTCAATTTCCTCTGGGTTTTCATTTTTAATAGATGAAAAATATCACTGAAATGAAAACCATTTTAAGTCGTGTTATATTATTATCCTCAATAAATATGGCTTTTTAAATGTGTTTATGGGAGGGATTTTTGTTTTTTGTTTTCTTATTATGTATTTTGTGTTCTCATTTTGTATTTTTATATTGTAAACCACCCTGTGATCTTTGGATGAAGGGCAGTATACAAATTTAAATAAATAAATAGATTTATATGTTGTGAACCATCCTGTAATCATCAGCTGAAGGGCAGTAAGTAAGATAGTAAGTAAGTAAGTAAGTAAGTAAGTAAATAGCCTCCACAGTTAATGCGTCAGAGTAAAAGTCAGCTTTTTTTCAGGGAATGCTGTAAATGAAATAGTCTGTAAGATGTTACTGTATATTATAGGTGCTCCAAAGAAATTGGCTAAATTTGATAAAACAATCTTGCTCCAACCCTTTAGGGTTGTCAAATTTGCCACACCCTAGCCTCCTAAGAAGGGCTCCAGTGGTTTGACTCAGGGGTGGAAGGGGGTAAACACATGAGGATTGATCGACCAATCAGGATGGGGCATGAAGTATGCTTTATGAGCTGAATCCATTCCAAACTCTGTTCAGTTTCAGAGTGATAACCTAATTCCCTGAGATGCTCATTCTCTATAACAGTAGGACAACTATCATCCTGGGAGTGGGACACAGCTATAAGGGCCCCAAAGACCTAATCAATCAATCTCTCTGCCTCTCTTAGACCTCCACGCCAGACTTAAAACTTGGACGATGCCTTCCTAGAGCATATTCAAATATTCAAAATGGAGATATATAGTAGTCTTGGGAGACTTCAACTACCCAAATATCCTTTGGAATTAAAACTCTGCCAAGAATGTAAGGCCCAACAATTTGCTCCCTTGTCTCGCTGACAATTTCATTTCCCAGAAGGTGGAAGAAGCAACAAGGGGATCATTTATCTTGGATCTGGTTCTCACCAACAGGGAGTAAATTATCAATGAAGTGGAAATACTGGGAACCTTTAGAGGAAGAGATCGTGTCCTCTTGAGTTTAATGATACAGAGGCAAGGGAAAGATTCACAGAGTTTAATGGAATTTACTCCGAGGTTTAGAATAGTTGCAACTTAAGGAGCATGTTCCATTAAACTCAGGTTTACTTTTGAGTAAATTTTGACTTCCCTATGAACTTATGCATCTGAAATACTCAAGTTTACTACAACAACTGGAGGTCCACAGACAGCTCATCACACACAAATAAGCAAAGGCAGGATGCTATAAGTGCTGCAAATGTCTTCCTTGTCTCCCTCTTCACCTCTCTTGTGACATCCAAATACCATTGTCTTGTCAGAACTGTCTTGTTCTGACAGCCTTTTCACCCAACAGTGGCGGGCAGTGTCTCCCACACAGTCACTCATTCCCCCCACAAGCAAGCTCTCTATTAGCAAGACATGTAGATTTATTGCAGCATAAGCTTCAAGTCAAGGGATGCGGGTGGTGCTGTGGGTTAAACCACAGAGCCTAGGGCTTGCCGATCAGAAGGTCAGCGGTTCTAATCCCCACAACGGGGTGAGCTCCCGTTGTTCAGTCCCTGCTCCTGCCAACCTAGCAGTTCGAAAGCACGAAGTGCAAGTAGATAAATAGGTACCGATCTGGCTGGAAGGTAAACGCCATTTCTGTGTACTGCTCTGGTTCGCCAGAAGCGGCTTAGTCATGCTGGCCACATGTACACTGTACGCTGTACGCTGGCTCCCTCGGCCAGTAAAGCGAGATGAGCACTGCAACCCCAGAGTCATCCGCAACTGGACCTAACAGTCAGGGGTCCCTTTACCTTTACCTAAGCTTCAAGTCAGATAATGTGGACAAAAGATTACCTCACAGTAAACCCTTAAGACTTTAAGTTGCCACAAGATGCTTTGTTGCGTTTGGAAAAATTCCACACTGTGGTATCCTTTCGCTGAAAAACCATGATGCTACGGCAAGGTCATGGGAAGGAGACATATCTTCTTCCGTGCTCCCTATCCATGAAAAATCTCTTGTTTGTGGCTTGTCTCATTGATAAAAGGGGTTGTTCAATATTTTCCAGGAAAGAAAGCACCATTTTCATTAAGACATTAATAGGCTGGGGGGGGGGGGGGTTAAAATCCAGCACTTTGCCTAATGGAACATGAGCACTGCATATGGACTCTGTGTTTACTGTGTCTTGCATGTCATATTTTTCTCAATGTACTTTTAAGAGCTATTATTTTCCTCGCTATTCTGTCACTACAACAGCTTTCCTGTGACTTAAAAGAGATGTATTATTTATGCCTCATGTATCTTCAGCGGCAATGACAACTAGACCATGTACATTTTGGCTCCCAGACTTTCCCTGGCAAGTGAAGATAAATTTGTGAACCTGCATGAACACACCGGGCTTCCATGAAATTTATAGAAATTAATAGGAACCGCCACAAAACATTTGGAAACAGCTTTTCTATTGTAAGAACTGAAAATTAATTCTGTTCTACAGCCTGAAAATTAAAGCAGCATATTCCTCCATCTGGATTTGAAAATAAGAATTTTGAATAATGGCTTGTTGGGTTCCTTCTTCCGACAGAAGGAAATGTAATTATTCACAGATATATGGGGGTTGTATCCAACGGTGGCTTTTTGCAGAAAGCCCTTCCTTCATCCAAGGTGCAAGGCACCTTTTCCCTATTGATTTTCCTTACCAGCTGCAGCCCACTGTGTAATGTCCCATAGTGTTCTGCTTTTCAAAGCAGTGAGGAGAGAGGTTGATGAAAATTGGGTACCCCGCTTTGCACATGTTCATTTTTTCTAGTGCAAAGCTGCCATTGGGTACAAATCAGTCCTTCTTATTCAGGTCATGGAAGTACATTAGGTGTCACAAGGAAGTAAACAAGCAGAGATATCCCAGTAGCTGGCAATGCTTATACTGGATGGTTAATCTATAAAGTTACTTCCAGTCTTTATTCCAACACTATCCAATAGTGGAAATTGGGTTGAGAACCTGGGGACCCTAGCCCAATAGCCAGAGATGATGGGAATTGCAGTTCAGAAATATTTGGAGGGCCACAGGTAGCCTATCCTTCATGTAAATGAGCACAATAATCAGTTTTTTTGCTACAGAAACATTTAATTAGCTGTAACACACCATGCACTTTTGTAGTTGTCTAACAGCCCAATGATGCCTGCATAATTGAAGAAGAAGAAGAAAAAGAAGAAGAGTTTGGATTTGATATCCCGCCTTTCACTCCCTTTAAGGGAGTGGCTAACATTCTCCTTTCCCTTCCTCCCCCACAACAAACACTCTGTGAGGTGAGTGGGGCTGAGAGACTTCAAATAAGTGTGACTGGCCCAAGGTCACCCAGCAGCTGCATGTGGAGGAGCGGAGACGCGAACCCGGTTCCCCAGATTATGACAACACCGCTCTTAACCACTACACCACACTGGCTCTGTGCTAAAGACAACCAGTTCTTCAGGGATCCTTCCTATGTAAAGGCTACTCACATAAATCAAGAAAGTCTCAGAGGGGAAGAATGATGTCCCATGTTACTGTGCTCACAATGCTGAGGAAGGAACAGATAAGGAGTGGGTTCAGTATTTCTGTCCATTACTGTGTGTTGATCCATGCATTTCAAACTGAGGAACATGGGAAGTTGACTTACCTAGGGACTGAACCTTAGACCTTCTTCATGCCAAGCAGATGCTCTGACCTTTGAGTAGAGATGTCGCAGAATTGAGTCAAAAATTGAAAAGGGAGCAGGAATTGCCACAATTTGCATGTTCAGAGATCAGGAATGGAAATCATGCAAGCAAATACAAGAGGTATTTGCTAGTGTTTGGGGGGGGGGGTTGAGTCTGTAAATGTTACGCAAATAGTTACATTATTTTTCTCATTGTTTTAGATTATTCCCTTCCATTGAAATGCATAGAAATTGGTCACATTGGAAAGAAGCATGATGCTTGGCCATCCTACAAGGTCTTTAAAATAAATAAATGCCATTGAACCAATGTCCACCTACCCATGGGGAAGTGGCAACAGTACCATACGAGTAGGAGATGAAATAACATTTTGTTTCCCAGAAAAAGCACACTACACAATTCTACTTAAACCACACAGCTTGTGCTTTCTTAACAACCTGTTTCTCTCCCATTATATAAAAATTGTCATGCATGCATGCATGCATGCATACGAAGTCCAAAACATGTGCAGCTTGGCTCAAGTTTAAAAGCTAAATAAGCAAAGAAAATTATAAAGACTAGGTTGCCCTTTTTAAGAACAGCTAAGAAATTTATCATTTTGTTTACACCTTTTAGGCTATACCAACACTAGGCTTGCATAGAGGGTTTTTTTTTTATTAATTCCTCCTGGAAATTCTCACAGACTACAAATTCTAAAAAGATGGCATATTAATGCTGATGTATTTCAGAAACATGGTGTGCAAGTGTAATAATGTCATTGCGGCAGCCTAATTGGGATCTAATAAAAAGATGCCATTGCAGCTCCACTGATACTCATTTTTCTCATGCTGGCATAAAACCCCAACAGATTCTTTTTAAGTGCAAGCTCTATGTTGAGAAAATGAAAAACTACCCAGGGGGGGAAGTGAAAAGGAAACCTAGTAGGTCAGATAATGTCTATGGTCTCATGCAGTGAAGGATGGTCTATTGGGGTAAATGGGAAACTGCCCCACTAAACACAGCCAAAGTATGGATTGGGAAGAGCGGTTTGGACTGGGAAGAATTCCAGGGGCAAACAGAAAAGCCTAGAGTGCTTCATTACACCCCTGGGCCTGAGATTTCCTACCCCAGCATTAGATGATACTGTTACAGCAGTTAAATTAGTCATCTAAAAACAAAGCGAGAAGCCTTCCACTTGAAAGCTATTGCGCTGAACTGAGACCCGCCTGAGGAAATGAGGTGGATCAGGAAAAGGTCCAAGGTGTGGAAGGAGTGAGGCATCTGATCAAAATCTGCTTTGAGCTTAAAAAATTATATTTGTAAATATATTTTTCTCTCATGCCAGGGAGAAGACCAGCTTGAATACTCTGGCAGCTGTTCAAGGGCCCCACTGCTATAAATAGCAGTATTTCAGGGTTGTAAAAAGTATTTCAGGGTTGTAAAAGGAAATTAGAGCCAGAGAGCAAAAGGTCACACTGACCAGAATACAATCAAGCTGTAAAAACACAATTAAGAACTGGTAAATAGTGAAATTTATTGTTTAACAGAAAACTCGAGCCATAAGGTTAAAGGTTAAATGGAAGAGGTTGCTCTTAGAAACAGCTGCTGGTTAGGGAAAAAGGTTTCTTTATAGAACTTAGGAACTTAGCTTTTACTAAGTTCCTTCTAATTTGAAAAGGCCTTTCCTTCTAAAAATCTATCTATGTTATGTATGAAATATATTGGCTTAAATGTAATTATGCAAAGGATTTAGAAAGTAAGAAATGTTAGATTCTTATGTTAGATTCCTATTATGGTGGGTGAGAAGGTGAACTCAAGATCTCTTTAAGATAAAAAAATTAGAAACCATGCACCATCTGCTTTAGCCATCTGGTTTGCGGTGAATAGGGCAACAGGGGCCAAAGGTTATCTGGTAATTGAGGTGCCTGGTCGAGGTAAATGTAAGATATATGGCTACTTGTCTGCCATTTATGGATACAAGGAAATATAGCTTTTTGTCTCCCATAAAAGGAAATAGGAAATGGGTGTATCTTTTATGATTGGTTCTAGCAAACAACCAATAGGAATTTCAACCAGGCTGATTGGACAGAGGCAGCCAAAGGAGGAGCAAGGGGGCTGGGCTGAGGAAATATAAGTGCTGGCCATCAGGGCTGGAGTAGGCAGAGCTTTGGTATCCATATACCACTGTGTCTCTCATTTATTTGTCTGACAAATAAATTATTATTTTAATTTCTCTATTGCTGCGTTGAATATTTCATTCCAGCTAAGCGTTAACCACAAGCAGGGTGCTACAGGAGGAGGTAAATTTTCACTAGTTTCTCCATCACCCTCTAGCTGCCAATCCTATGCAGTTTTGGAGGGATCACCAACCCACCCAGAACACATTTGGGAGCACAGGGGGCTGCAAGTGGGAGGAAAGGGGAAGAGGGTTACAATTCCCTCCCCATCTGTGGGAGCATCCAGTTCATGGAGTTTTGTTCTGTGCAGCTCTCAGTCCAAGCTATTGTTTTTCCTTATATCCATATGTATGCACATTTAGGCTACAGTCTTGTACAAATTTATCGGGCATTAAGTCCTGTTGAATGCATTGGGGCTAACTTCTGAGTCAACATACATAGGATTGCACAGATAATTGATTGCTTAAATGATGAATCAATTAAAATTCATGTAATTATTCCACTATGAGCTTACACTTCCCTGGAAATAAACACAGTAGGGGTGTGTGTGTAGCTATGAACAGTAGGAAGACACCAGCAAATTTGACAAAATTTTAGGGTAGCTTCGATATTAAGCACCAGGCCTAGGCATTTAGACTTGTTACTGACAATATACTAAAATCCACCTTCCCTGAAGTGTTTCCATAAAGCATTTTTAAAAGGCAACTGAAAGGAAATAACTTTAGTTATTATGAAGTACCTGTTTTCACAAATGTTATTGTTTACTGCGTCAAAATGCCAGTCTTTATATATTCATTTGGAAATGATTACATTAATCCTTTGCCCATTATCTCAGTGAGCTTTCATATGATGAGTTGCGGAATTATTACATCTCAGATTTAATGAGCTCATTTTCTATGATAACATAGATTATCAGGTTCTCAGTCTCAGCAAACAGCACAACCCATTCAACATTCTACAGATCAAACAGAACTCCATTGTATAAGATGGAGAATGAAAAATATACTTGGAAACACACTAACATGCACTTCTTTACATTTTTAAAATTTCACGTTTTTGATCTAAATTCAGTTTTCCATTTTATTAAGATAAATCGCCAGTTAGAAAATGAGCTCCAGTAAGATTTTCCAGAATAGAGGGGATTCAGCAGCACCACTGCCATAGCTTCCCCTTTGGGAAGAAATAGGGGGCAGGGATACAGTGGTGATAACCTAGAAGTGATCCTAACTACAGTAGAATTTAGAAGATAGAACATTGGCATGGATTTTCACATAAAATGAAAAATAAGGCAGATTTAAAGGATTCTATGGTGTGGGTGAAATGTTTGGAGGATATTTAAGAGAAATAAAAAGATGCATAGTAGAGTGTGGTTTACACTTAAAAAGCAAAAAAACCCTTCACCTTAATTTACAAAATATGTGAAAGATCTTATCCAAAGGAGGGCATTTGAGTATGACTTTTTACAGACATACATGTTTATATGCAAATTTGCCTAACATACACATTTCTTGCAAAGCAATTTTCCCTAATATAATGATTTTTTTGTATGTTCTTTTCATTAATATATGCATTTGTGTACACACTTATCCTAGTGTATGTATTTTTGTAAACATTACTTGACTGAAAAACTGCACTGCAAAATTTGGATAAGTGGGAATTTTGAAGGACGGGTGTGTT